CTCCCACTGAAGCAGGTAATATAATCCCCTTTTATAGACAACGAAACTGAGGCTCAGTGAGTTGCCAGAGGCTGGCATTTTTCTGCCTTGAACATGTTTGTTAATAACTAGCCCATCACATGACACTCTGCACGCTCTGTAGTTGTGGGGGGTGGGGCGTGCACCTGCGCTCTCAAAGATGGCAGAGCCCCTGCCCCCCCGCCCCATCTCACCACTAGGTGGGCTGGGTCAGGGCTTAGTGATTCACACTGACATCGGCTAATCCAATTTAACTCAATTAATTGTGTGTGTGTGTGGCAGGAGTCCTGTCCCTCAACTACTTTGTACAAATGAAAATTACTCTCAATTCCTTCAGATTTGTAATCACCCCATACTCTGGTTTCAGGGTGACATTTGGGAAGAATTCTGTTTAAAATTAATGGAGTGGCACATTCTGCAGCCTTTTTGCTTGATTGCATGTAATGGGAGTGCCCTATATTTTCCTGCAAAATAGGTACTCAATTCATTATCGTTAAGCAAATGTACAATATACTCGGGCACCACGGAGAGCTGGGCGCAGGCCCATGTGAGCAGGGCTTAGGAAGTAGGGCTCTTCAACAGGGACCCTTGAACTTTAAAGAAAGAAACTCCTTTTTGCCTTCTAATTGATCATTTAGACCATTTCCGGCTAAGTCTGCCCACATGCAATTACCGGCTAATTCAGGCGAGGAAAAATGTAAGTCACTTAGACCCAAGTCGAGCAGTCTCCTTGCGTGGGTTTACTCGCGGGTTTGTGGTTACTTGTATCCCCTCTCCGTGAACCCAGCTTTGAAATACAGGGCTCTGCTTGTGCCAGGCTGCTGCGTTCCTTGGGAATAGGAAAGGGGCTGAAGTGGGAGGGACCAGAAGGACAGGAAGCGAGGGGACGCATTTGCACACTTGACTTGCGGGGGGAGTACCCCCAGACAGAGAGAGATGGGGCTTATGGTACTTAACAGTTGCCCTTAATTGCCTAAGGCCTTGGGGTAAATAATAACTCGTTCTGTTATTACAACTTCATTATAGAATTTTCCTAAATTTGCCAGATGGACACCAGCCTAGATACCCACCCAAAGTCTGTGCCTGCTTTGTCACTGCTTTCAGATCATTGCCCAAAGCCCACCTCCAGTTAGAGGAATTAATTTTTATCTCTATCACCATCACCGCCCACCCCACCAAGTTAGGCCTCCCATATTGTCCAAAACATTTCCTTCCAGCTTCGAAACATTTCCTGCTACCTGCTGTAACTCTGAACCCATAAAGTTTAGATAGACCGCATATTTCTGTGGATATTTTGCTCTAAGAAATAATTGTTACTGAGCATAATGAGCTTTTAAGATAGAAAGACAATGCACTCTCTTGTGCCAATTTATGTAAAAGAACACAATTCTTTTTACAGGATTAACGCAATATTACATTTTTCTCATTAGGAAACACTAAATAGTGTCATATTTCTGTTTGCGCTCATTTAAATTCCTGATAGCAAATCAAGATAAACCATTGCTTTGTCTCTTTGAGCAGTCCGAAAGCGGGATGAAATAAGAGGAATGCATTCATTTAAACATGCTTTGCTGTGCGAATTTTGTCTCCTTTGTTGTCCTTTTCTCTTTACATTCAAGCTGCAAATGTACAAAGTACAAGGGGCCTCATTAAGAGCACCCCTTTTGTATTTTGTGTTTATATGGTAATGGAAACACATCAGAACACTGGGAAGGTTTTAAACAACCAGACGGAGGTCTCTGCCTCAGTCCAGAGGCCTAGGGCCTGGGTCTGTCATCTCCCCTCACCTGGAGATTTTCCTTTAGATTCTAGAATCTCCTGCTTAACACACAATGGTGTTTTTGGAGGTGGAGAAAGGCATCAGAACAATAAATAAACCAAACTTCACCGTCACCTCTTAAAAAAAAAAAAAAAAAAGAAAGAAAAAGAAAGAAAAAGAAACCAAGAATCAAGTCTCTGTGGGCTTACTGGATTTTTTTGTTTGTTGTTGTTGTTATTATTGTGCCTTTTCTCTCCTACATTCATTGATATTTTTATTTTTTTTTACATTCATTGATATTTTTAATAGCTCACATATAAGTGGTACAAAATTCAAAAAGCATGAATGGGTATCTAGTAAAAAACCGGTCTGCCTCCCTCCCCTCCCCCAGCGGCCAATAACCCTCCCCAGAGGCAACTATTTGAATCCGTTTTGCATATTCATTTCCAGAGATTCTCAGGCCATATAAAGCATTAACACACATATAAAATCTTTTTTTTTACATAAATAGTATATTATACATACTGCCATGCACATTGCTTTTTTCACTTAACGTTATATCTTGGAGATTTACACTGGATATTAAAACTTTTTCAAGTGAGACTATGAATACTTTATAAATCCAAATGCACACCTCTGGTCTGCTTGAGCTAGGAAATGAAAGCCCTCCCCGGAAGGAGGGAATGCTGCCTAGACAGTGATCTCAAAAGTTGAAACTGTGTTCTAGTGGGTAGTAGTTGGGGGTCAGGGGTATGTCACCAGAGACATTCTCAGGTAGCCTCTGAATTTTTTTTTTTTTTTTGAAAGGCCTCCTTTAGATTATTATGCTGAATGTGTACAGTTTAATTAAGTTTTCATTTGTACATATAACTACGGCTACTAATTTGTAGTCGACTAAGAAAGTACTAATGGTTACTAAATACTGTGTGTATTCTGCTATAAGCCTAGCAATGCTCCTCTGTTCTATCAGAAAACTCCCATTTCCCGTGTGCAGACCCAGAGTTGATGTGCCCAGAATCTGGGAGAAGACTCTTTATCAGCACTTCATCAGTGTGGCCTTGAGTTGGTTCCGATTTGCAATGGCTACAGTCAGTCCTTTCTAATTATGAATTACTGTCAGCTTAGCTTTATCATTATCAGTTTATTTTGTTGTGGGTTGCTTGGTTAACCCTACATAGCATACTGAAGCTTATTTGCATCAAAAGTCTTCTGGAACTATAATTTTCCAATAACCAGACTCTAAGACATGTATACATTGTGGTCCAAATATGAATTGTCCATACTCCAGTGCTAAAGCAAATGTATACATAATCCACTTCCCCCAAATTATCACTAATTTATTTTTCCACTGGAAAATGAGACTAGATGGAGTCTGCAGGTCAAGCAGTTTTGCCCTAAGTAGGGGCTGATCAAAAATAATTTGAGACCCACTGCATCTACTACAGCTCCACCTCAGGAACCCTACCTACATAAAACATCCTAGCTATTCAAGAGGGATAGGTCCTGAAGCCTCCACTCATGCTAATATGGCATGCAATCACCCCCCTCCCCGTAAAATTCATTTACATCTATTGGAAAATTCAAGAGAATACTAAGAACAGGAGAACTGAATTGAAATGAAATGCCATGTAGGAAGAAGACTCTCTCAGCCACTAAGGGACCCATGTCCACCCACCAGCTTCCCAACACCTGCAGATTCAAGTCTCAACAAAAGACAAGTTCGTGTGTGCAGGTTTCTCACTGTTATAACTCCAAAGATCATATCTGCAAACGCCAAGTTATATCTGCAAATACCAAATTTAGACTGCCTTTTCCTCTCTTTTCCCTGAAAAATCTAAGCCCAGGCTAGCTCCAAAATTTGCTCGCGCCCCCTGCTTTACTAGGGTGGTGAGTGCAGACGCGAATACATGCCTGGGCATCCATGAGGGTCTTCAACGCAGGATGAGCAGCCCCCACACCAAGCCTGACAATCTGGAGTTTCGGACTTCCCAAGTCCAAAGCCACCAGTGAAGCAGGTCTTAAAGTACATTTGCAGGATGTTAGTAGATATTAAGTGAAAAAAATGTCACATTCAAATACGTTTGGGAAATGTGAGGCTAAAGAAAAGTAAACTCGCTTTCTACAGCTTTGGTTTTATTTTTTGCTTTTTGTGTTCTAATTGGAGCGTATCTCAGTTTCCTACATGGACATATATTATGACCCTCTACAGGGAGACAGACTAGGGCACGTCCGGATTGCATCTGACCATGGGACCTATTTGCCCCCTAAAAAATTTGCAGAATGAGTGCTCTGTGGAACTCATCGGTTCATAAAATTTAGCCAGTGGGCCAGATAGTCAACGAGTATGTGCTGAACCTCTATGACGTCTTAGTTGTGCTGTGTCCAGTGGTGAAGGAGGCTCCCTTGTGGAGCTCACTCAGATGCACAAAAAAATCATCACAGATCAGGGGTACCTACAAATGGTGATAGCCGCTGAGAACAAATACAAAAGTCTATGAGAGAGGTCTCATTTAGGTTTTGAGGTCAAGAGAGGTCTCTGGCAAAGTGAGGTTTTCAAGGGACACCTACACAAGAGAAGAGCTCACCGTTCAAGGGAACAACTCAGGTGAGGATCCTAAGCCAGGAGAAAACTTGGCTCCCTGGAGGAAACTGCAGAAAGCCAGGATGGCTAGAGGACAAGGGGTGAGGCAGGGAGAAGAGGTACCAGACTGGAGGTAGCAGAGGCCTGTGGATTTTATCAGAAAAATGGCAAGTAATGTATACATAAAAGCCTTCTGGCCCATGTGTGAGAAAACTGGAGAAAGCAGTCAGCGTAGGGGGTCTGAGACTGGCCTTCCATCTGCAAACCAGGATGACAGTTGGAGAACAAAGGAGACCAAGAGAGGGGATGGAGCCCCTGCCCAGCCCCAATCTGGTCTCCAGCCCAAGCTGGAAGCCTGGGTGTTCTTAGAAATGGCTCACCCTCCTGGGGCTACTGGCAGGGCAGGAGGACCTAAGCCATCTCCAAGCCTCCTGCATTTTGCTCTGGAACCAGAAGACAGGATGGGGCTGTGTGCATGAAGCAAAGGGGAGGACTTACAGCCAGAAAGCAGATCCCTGGGGCTCAGTGCTCCCAACCTTGTCACCACAGAGGACTGTTGCTGTTTGGTCCCTGTGCGGATTCAGTGGGGGATGGGGGGGGGAGAAGAAGGGGGAAGGAGACCGGGGGAGGCAGGAATGTGGTCATCCAGCCTGAGGGCAGGACAAGGTATAGGCTTCCTGGAGGTGGAATAATAATTTCATTTTCCCAGTTCACATTAGTCAGCATGAATTACTGTTAGCGTGCCTACCACGTTATAATAAAGCCTACCAGAAGTGGATCACTTAGGCTTCACGGTTCGGGTCTTGTGAAATACCTTTCATTCCTATGGTACATTATTTTCACTGGGAGTTTTGAAATCCCAGAAATAGCCCTGGAAACCCCCGCTGGGGAGCAATTTGGCGGGAAACCAGTTCCGTGGGTGCCTGCCCCAGAAGGACGCTCTCAGGAGGCTTTCGTGGCCTGAGCAACCCAGGCCTTGGCGCGCAGTGCACGTGGGCCCTGGCTTTGACGCGCTGGCATTTCAAAGGGCACTTAGGAAATTCTGAGAAGCCCCTCAGATTAAGATAAATGAGGTTTTGTCAGTGAAACAGCCTTTTCATTTCTTGTTATCGATTTTCACGTTTTCACATCTTCAGATGCGATTTGCTAGCCCAGGGCCGCATTCCAAGACACACAAACGTCATTAAGACAGCCGTTTTAAAGACTGCCATGTTTTATTGAGGCAGACAGGACAATAGATAAACATTTAATCTGTTACACATTGGCCTGGCATGGGAGACGGGCTTGGGACCGTGTGACTCTGAGGCTCTCTCATGTCTTTCCGGAAACCCTGACAATGGCCTCACCAACTGCCCACAGAAACACTGGACCCGCCCTTGGCAAACACTTGCCAGTGTTTCTGAAAAGCAGCTTCTGGAAGCCTTTTTCCACTCCAGCTTCAGAGGTTACCCCATCTTTCCTCATTCGTCATGATATTGGAGAATACAAACGCTCACGGAACTGGGGGCAGTTGGCTTGAAATAATGGACAATGACAATGGTGACCGGGGAGCATGCACTAAGCTAGGTTCCTGAGGCCACAGAACCCTCATCTCGTCCACGCTCTGAGTCTTCGGTTAATGCGGTGCGCTCGTGGGTGATGGCATTCTACGTGCTATCTCTGAGCCTTGAGCTCTTGCATCTTCGGTTCCCGCAGCTCATTCCCATAATATCCCTCTCTCACGTTTTGGAATTACTTGTTGTCCAGACCCATGACCAGGTCTGTCATTGCCTGTGAGAGACCAAGCTCACCAGCAACCACCCTGATCAGGGGACCTGCCAAATTTCTTTCATTCATAAAACTCACCCATCCAGATTAAATGGCTTCCTCAACTGCATGCCTTCGGTGCTATTTGTCAGTAAGATAGCTTTCTCTCCTGTTTTTTCACTAGGATTCCCATCCCTACACAAGGAGTATGCCCTGGCATTGTTGAGTGGGACACCAAACACCAGAGGACAATAGGAATCCCAGTCAACTCCCTGGGCCAGGCCCCAAACTGCACATGATCAGAATGCAATCAAGTCGCGGAATATTTGAAGAAGCCTTGTTCTGAGTTCAGCCCCTTTCCATGCACAAAATGGGATCGGAAAGTACAGGGTCCCTTCCCACATGGATTCTTCCATCCCAATGGAGGTGGGTGACAGATGCAGCTCATTTAAAATAATTCAGTGACAATGACAAGATAGGACCAGATGCCACTGAGTAGGTATCTCAGAGAGAATCTAGGTAGATTCTCCCAGAAAATAACCCAGCCCCAGCTGCCATATAATCTTTAGGGGCGTCTGCCCCCAGGATCAGTAATTTCACATTCCATACAGATTTGCTGCTACAAGAGAACACACGACTCACTCTAAAGCCAAATGGAGATTTAGGGTCATTTGTCTAAAGTCATACTTGTTGCTGAGAAATCATTGTCTTTATTCTGCAAACAGCCAGTCAGTCCCCCCAAATCCACGCCGGGCTCCATTGCCAATCATTTGAACTCTGTCCTTGCTCTCAAAGCTTCCTTGCCTCTCCAAATGACCCTCTGGTCAGCCCCATTAGTGGACATTTTTATTCTTGTTCCCAGCATAGAATTGCTGTAGCAAATCACAGAATGGACACATACCAGCGGACTACTCAATTGCCATTAGATGCTCCTTGCCTTCTCTGAGTCCTCTGTCTTCTCTCATGGATTCCCTTCACCTCCCCCAAACACCCACTCCCTACCTTCTCCCCAGACCCCTCTGCCTACTTCCTCCCCACATGAGGTCTTCACCTCTTCCTTTACTGAGAAATCAAAGCCGTTTGCTTCCTGTGTTTTCCAGAGCATCCCAACATCTCACTGCCTCTCATGTCTTCCCGCCCCAGTTCCCAGGCTGCTGCCCCTCCTCCAGGCCCAGCCCCCCTTCTCCTCCAGCATCTGGGCTTTCGCTCCAAACCATGCAGATTCCTACAGTGAAAAATAACCGGCACTTGAGCCAGTTCTCCAGGCAGTTCCATCGTCTGCCCCTGTTCACGTCTTCTCTGGGACACTCTCCTGGAAGGATACAGATCCAGGCTCGTTCCACTTCCTCCCTTACCCCTTCCTTTTATGAACCCCGAGAATCCACTACTAGTTTTTCAGCAGCTGAAATTGCTCTCTGGGTGGTCAGCTCTTCACACACGGGGCTGGCCATGACACCTCTTCTCCTGGCCCTGCAGCCTCTGACCTTGCTGGCCATCACCTCCTTCCAGGAACTCAGCTACAAAGGTCACGCACACTATACTTTTCTGCTTCTCTCCCGCTCTCTCTTGCTCTTTTGGCTCCTAGCTGGGCTTTTTTCCATCTCCCCGGCTCCACAAATGTGAATGCTGCCTAGGGGCATCCTCCATACTTCTTAGGTCTCTGCCTGGCTTCCACTATGGCCCGTCTCCTCCCCAGCCCCGACATAGTCACCCAGCTGGTTGGGCATTTCCAGCCTCACATCTCCCCTTAGCACAACCGAGCACACCCACGCTGAATCTTTACCCTCCCCCCCCCCCATACCGGCTCCTTCCCTAGACATCCCTTGTCTCTTCCAGAGGTGCCATCTCCTTCCCAGGTGCTCTCAGATGCACAAAGGAGTTCTGAGTTTTCTGCTTCCCCTCCCCTGATCTTCCCCACCCCAATCACAGCCGATCCGTTCTATCGATTGCTTCTTCATGAACCACCTGTTTTGCATTGTTCTCCTCTTCAAACCCTGAGTATTCCCCTAATTTAGGCTTCATCCCCTCATGCCTGAATTTTGCAATGACCTCTTAACCAGTCTCCCTTTGGGCTCATCCATCCTGCACCCGTTCCCTGCCTCCAGGTCTTGAAACCCAGCTCAGATCATCTCACCCCCCTCTCCAATAATACCGACAGTGGTACTTACTGCGCGCTTACAGCGTGGACTTTCTACAAATAATCCCATCGAGTCCCCTCTACAAGACTGTGAGGTACATCCTATTAGCATCCTCCTTTTACAAAGGGAAAACTAAAGGCCCAGAGATCCAGTACTTGATACAGGTCACGTGCCCCACGGGTGCCAGAGCTGGGCCGTGAGCCCGGCCTGCCAGGCTCTAGCGTTCAGGTTCTAACCTCTTGAACTCAGGAGGTCTTCCTCGGTCCCCTCAGCGGTTTGCCTGTCCAGAGACCAGAATCCCTTTGCCCTGCTCCGGGCCTCTAGAACCCGCTTCTATGCTGCCTGACCAATCACTAACTCCCTGCATCCAGACAGACCCGTCTGTTTGCCGGAGGACCTCTGTTTCCTGCCAGGAGCTGTTCTCCTTTGCCTTGTTTCTAGAAGGAATTCCTGAAGCAACCAGGCTCTGACTGATAAGGCTGTCATTCATTTATTCATTTGTTCAATAAAGATTTAAATATTGCCTGCGCCACCAGACACTATGTGAGGTGCAGAATACTGCAGATAATAAAACAGGCATGGCCTCGTCCCCATGTGCTTACAGTCAAGTGACTTCCAAACCCTGCTACTGTCCTCTGACCCCCGATGCAGACCCCACACAGAACCGGGCTACATCTCCTCCCAGGCTTCTGCATGACCCCCTCCAGCCACAGTCCCTGCTAGGCTCCCGCTAGGGAGTTAGGGGGCTCAGACCCTCTTTGCATGCCAGGTAAAACCCATGTTTTGCCAAAGCTGTGAGGGTGTTGCCAGGGGACGGATACTCCCTCTCAGGAAAGCTCAGCTCCAAGCCCCTTTGTGGTCAGGAGGCCGTGAGTCAGAGATGAGCTCCAGAGGTCAAGCAAAGACTTGAGACAAACTCTTGTTGTGTTGCCACCCTGTGTCTAGGCACAGGGCTGGCTTTTGCAGAAAACTGGGCAAGCAACCTCTCAGGGAGGGGCAACTGTTATACCCATTTTACAGAAGAGAAAATAGAAGTTCACTAGCTGGGACTCAAACTTGGTTCTGACTCTGAAGGCTTTATTCTCCCCACAATTCCCTGCTGCCTCCATATTCCTAGCATCCTAGATTTCTGGGGCCACACAGGCTAGAGACGGAGGTCAAGAGCAAGATCAGTGGGGTTTGATTCCAACTGTGGATCAGTGTTCCTTTTCACGTCTCAAATACTGTGTTTCCTCTTGACTATGCTTTATGTATTTATCTAGTTAGGTGGTTGGCAGAGGGGGAATGGTGCAGCGTTCCTTAACTAACTGTAGGAAACTCTGAATGAAGAAAGATTTAACAAAACTCCAAAGGTGTTCTTTTGAAGGTCCGTTCTGTGTCTTTTCTTGCCAAACACTTGGTTATTTGGGGTGCTCTGGGAAGGGGCGCAGGTGTTAATGGCTGAGGGAGCCTCACTTTCTCTCCAGCAAAGAAGTGACCTGCCTTTGCCCTGGAGTGGGGATTTGGGGGGCTGTCTGGCCTTAGGCAGAAAGCAGGGGACAGGCTGAGCATGAGGCTTGTGTCTGGAAGGAGGGAAGGGGCCTGGGGGCTAGGACAGCTGAGCACTGCTGTGCCCAGGAGAGCAGCCAGAACGGCTGACGTCTCACAGGTGAGCCTCCCACAGGCTGGACACGGTTCAGGCAGGAGGACTCCGGCAGGTAGGGCTGAGCCCGGGCAGCAAGCAAGGCTTGAGCTCAGAGGGCATCGTTCACAAAGGGGGCGGACCAGCTGGCCTCGAAGCCCCACAGTGGGGTGGTGGGGTGGGGTGGGGATGGAGGCAGGCGCTCAGCCTGTGAGCTGGACAAAAGAGCCAGGGAGGAGGGCACTGCCATCAAGGTGCCCAGGCGCTCCAGCTAGACTCTGGGTCTTTAGCAACCAAGCCTCTCCAGGGCTGCCAAGCTGCTGCCCGTGATCCCTCTCTCCACCCTTTCCAATCTCCCTCCCCTCCCTGTCACCCCCCCACCCCGTGGTCAGGGGGTGGCTTCTGCATCTGCTTCAGGGAATGTGTGTGGACCCAGCCGCAGGCAACCAAAGCAGCGTGGGGACAGCCATCCTGGCACACCGTCCAGGCCGGGCCCGGCCACCCTGCGGAGAGCGCATAGTTCTGTTGGCCCAGCCTAGGCCCCTCCACCGAAAGTCTCTGCTTCCTCCATTCACAACCAGGATTTCTCACGCTGGCCTCTGCGTGAATGCTGGTTGTAAGCTGAAGGTGCCACGACCATGCATATTTACAATAACTCCATGAGAGATTTCAAAATGGAATTCCAGGGAAAAGCAAGCAAGCCACCGAGCAGCCATCTTCTTCGACATTTTCCCTGAAGTGTCAGGGAATCAAGTTACACTGACCCAGGATGGACCCACGCGAGAGTGCGCAGGCACATGTTTTAGGTACAGCCAGAAGCCCTGGACACTTCTACTTAGAACATAGCACTTGGGCTCAAGGCCTGGCACTCGCTAGCTGTGTGTTATTGGGCAAGTCACTTCACCTCTCTGAGCCTCTTTCTTTGTAGTGAGGTATAAGGGGGGGGCCTCTCACATGTTAAGTATGGGGTTTGGTTCTGCTTGCCTGACTCAGGTGTCTCCTTCCCCCCTCACCCTCTTCGGGCTTGAAGCTGTTCTCCAACTCTGACAGTGACCTTCCCAGACTGAGCAGAGGGGACTGAACGAGAGTGTTGCTGCGGACATTGGGTAGAGCTGAGAGTTCGTGTCACATAGGAATTCTCACTGCTGTTCCTGCTCCAAGCACAGGACCAGAGTTGGCAAATAGCGGCATGCTTACTCTGCTCCTCACACACCTGTGGCAGACATCCCTTATCATCCAGCACTTTTCCTGGCCAGTGATGTCTGCAGTGGAGTGGAGGGAAGAGGAAATGTAGAAAAGAAAGCTACTGGCCATCGTGCACAGTATTTATAGCTTAGGATACCAATGTGGGGCTCCACACAGGGTCAGATGCTCACCCCTGGGCCAGTTAGCTGCAACTGAGGATAAGGGTAAGAGGCAGAGTCTGTAAGAACATAGTAGCTACCATTCAAAGTCAAGAGAAACAGCTACTAGAAAAAAGCATTTTATTCTACTCAGATTTTTCTCCTCTAGAAAAGACACTACCCAAGGTTCTCAGGGGTACCAAGCCATGTGAGAGATGAGCAAAAAACCCAGAGACGTTAAGTGGTGTGGCCAAGATGACCTTCTAGAAAGGGCTAGAACTCCTAACTTCAGTTTCTGTGCTTTTTACCTGGGGGCAGGCAGCAAGGTTTGCAAACAGCCACGCATTACTCAGCCAACCTCACAGAGGCCCAGACCCTACAGCCAGAGGCCAGCCCTGAAAAGTGAGACCCAGGGAGCCCTTGGCCAGGATCTAAGAGCTGAGAAGCAACCACAATGAAATCCAAAAGGCTCTTTAGAGAAGCTTGCAGTTTGGGAACAATCCCGCTAAGTCATAAATGCTTCGAATTCCTCCGCTTTTGCCTCCAGAATTTCTGGCAGCCCCGTGCAGAGGGTGAGTATTCACGGACAGACACTGATTCTCCTCTGCTGCGGAAGGCCAGGCCAGGCCAGCCCCGAGACCGGGAAGCCAGCACACCAAGTCTCTCCTCTAGAAATGGCCAGAGGAGGGCAAGGCTGTTGCTGAGGGTGTTGGGCGCCCACCCAGATCCCCCTCAGGACCTGGCGCTGATTCCCTTCTTCTCCCCAACCTCCCCCAGGTGCTCCCACTGCACCAGCGACCTCAGCCAAGGAAGTGTCCCCACCCCTGGGACACAAGGACTGGTACCTTACTTCCATCCATCCAGGGCATCTCGGCGCTCCGGTGAGAGGGTTGAGTCCTCCTGGCAGGCGCCTGGCAGTTTGGCTTCTCTCCCAGGCCTCACCGCAGCTGCCTCCTCATAGGGGCTGTCCCTCACAGCTGTTGGTGCTGTGATCGGTGCTCCCGACAGGTGTATCTCATTCGCTCGCAGGTGCTCCTGCCGTTGCGCCCGTCTGCCTCGTGCGGCCTCCCCGCATCTCCAAGCCTGCAGCCCGGGACCCTGGCCCGCTGCAGCCAGGGCACTGAGAAATCACCGCATCCAGCCCTGCCAGCTCGCAGGTGGACAGCCCGCCCAGGGCCACAGGACCTCTTGGTGGCTAAGCTAAGCTGGCCCTAGGGGCCTCTGACCTCACTGCCCTCTGCTTTCGTGGGATGATATTTAAGCTGCTAACGTGCTTGACACCCACTCTGTCTATAAGCATTTCTGCTAATCTTCACGAGCCCATAAGGGAGGGGTTATTAGCGTCACATTTTGCAGATATCAATGAGCTGCCCCAGGTTGCACAGCCCAGAAGTGGTAGAGCTCAGGTCTGCACTGCTCTCCAGCGCATGTGCTTTGCACTAGCCACACTGCTTCTAGCTCTTGTGGGAAAATGGAGCCTTCGGCTTGTTCATGACCCATGCAAGACCCACGTGGGTCCTGGCCCAAATGTGGCCCAGGGGCAGAGTCGCTCCTTCTGCAGGTCAAGTTCTCGCCCATTCCTCGGGGCAGCCCTGCCCGCCACCATTCCAGCCCAGGGGAGCCAGGGATTGCAGGGTCAGGATTTAAATCAAATGCCCAGCAGCTCCCCAGGGATGTCCCCAAAGGGGATAGAAATACGTCACACTCGTGCTCTATCTACTAGACTAAGTCAGAATTATTGCAACTCAAGACGGGGCTTGATGAGGAGGCAGTAGGATCCTTCTAGGATGACATACGATGAGGGAGATATGAATATAAAAGCCCCATTGATAGGGGCGCCTGGGTGGCTCGGTGGTTCAGTGTCCGACTCTTGATCTCAGTTCAGGTCTTGATCTCAGGGTCATGGGTTTGAGCCCCGTGTTGGGGGCATGCATGCATGCATGCATGCATAAATAAATTTATTTTTTTTAAAAGCTTCATGATAGACCAGCGGGGAAAGAGAAGGGAGGGATTACCCCTGCATAGGGGAACAAGAGAAATGGGCAAAAAACCAGGTGGGCGGGCCCACCTGTCCCTGTAGGCCCCTGCTCTGCTCCCGCATGTGCACACACACCCCCGGACCACGTGCACCTCAGACAAGGAGGCCTCCCCCCGCACGCTCAGCCTCCTTCAGGCCCAGGGCCCACAGGGGGCACCCTCAGCGCCCCAGTGACATTATTTTACTCATGCCTAGTGGCCAAGGCCTAAGAGGCTGTGATCTGAGCAGTGGCCTATCACCATTCCCCCAACACACCCAACTTCTGCCTCAGTTTCCCTTCCTGGCACTCTTATTTCCCCACGGAATTGTTACTGATTATGAGTCCACGCTGCCTGACTGAGATTCTGACAGCGTTCCCAGACAGTGCTCCCTTTGCTAGGGGTCGGGAGTAAAGGATGTCGGTATCTCTGCTCCAAAATCTGGCCATTGTTTGTGGTGCTCCTCAAGGAGACAGAGTTCCCAGAACTTCGCCACTGTGGATGACAGCAGAGTTCTGGCGATCAGTAGCCCAACCATGAACGGTGGTCAGAGGCAGCAAGCACTGTGGCTTCGGAAGCTCAGACAAGATTTAGGTGGGGTGGACGTGGGAAGAGACAATCATGGTGGCTAATATCCAACATCAGGCAGAGAGGGATGGTTCTGACCCCCTGCCTAGCTAGTGACCAGGAGCTTGGCAGATTCAAAGCTTCAGGGAAATCCTTAAAGGGCTGAGCCCCAGGCCAGGAAAGGCCCTCAAGGGCTAGGCTCTGACTGCTAGGCTAAAGGACTGAACTATATCTGGGTCAGCAATGATAGCCCTTGAGAAGGTGGGGCCAACCAGGGGGAAAAGTGAAGGGTCTTGACCCAGGGGTATTCTTGCATTCAGTAACGTTGACCTAAGAAGAGCCAAGGGTAATCAGTCCCCAAAAAGTAACCCAGAGTAGGCCATTGTATACCCCAGGAATGCACGTAGGAGACCTGTGCTCAGTCTTGGGCAGAAGGGTTCAGGCTGGAGAGCACGGCTGGCCCAGGTATAAGGAGTCCTGAGCCCCATGTTCAAAAACCAACTCCACTCCTCAGTGGCCAAGAGACCTTGGGTCAGTCACTTCACCTCTGTCTCAGGTGAGTCCCTGCAGGAAATGGATGGACCATTCCAAAGGAGTGAGCAAGATTAACAATGGGATGGTTCATGGGAATTTAATGAAGGAATGATTTTCAAAGTTGGGGGCAGGCCTGAGGGAATCACTGAGGGGTGGTGACACGCTGGAGACCAGCAGCACTGGGCAGCCGGTACCATGCCAGGGCCAGGGGCACAGGGGTCTTGTGGGGACCCAGTGAGACCGAGAGCTGCAAGGAAGGGGCCGCTGGACAGGAGCTGTGGCTTTCGGTGAAGGAATCTACTTACCACCGGCAAACTGAGGCCAGGAAGGGAGGAAGCAAGAGAGCATGAACAACCTCCTTTCTACTCCAGCCTTCCAGCCTCCTGCCCAGAGGCCAAGGGAGGCCAGCTGTTGCAGCCTCCTGGAGCACAGAGAAGGGTAGGGAAAGTTTGAAAGCAGGACTGCAGGGGCAAATGGAGAATATCCCACATGCCCTCTCTGAAAACATTTTCTTATTCAAAAAAGAAGGAAACAATACCTGTCCTGCTTACCTCCAAGGAAGCTGTGAGGATCAGGCAAGAGGTTCAGACTCCAGGGGAGGGGGAACTGGGTGACTTCTGAAGTCCCGTTCAGCTCTCAGAGCCTAGGATTCTCAGCAAAAATCACTAGGAAGAAGGACTGAGCAGAGCACCTGGGAGAGAAGAGTCTGGAAGCTCAGTAGAGCCAGTCTGGAGCCATAGCAGAGGTCAAGCTTGAGTTTGAGCTTAAGTAGCCACCAGAGTAGCAGCCGGCCTCCTTAGGGGACCGTGGGTGTATGGGAAAGTATAGGTGGGGTTAGAAGGCCAGGTTCAAATTCTGGCTTTGCCCCTTACTAGCTGTATAAGGAAAGGTACTAAGTCCTTCCGTCTTATCAGCCTGAACTGTAAAAATGGGAATGAACTCTCAGAGGCCTGTTATAAGGATTAAATTCAAAGAGATGCTACGTCACCATGCCTGGCATATGAGGTGTTCTCCTGAAACAGGAGCTCTTTCCTTTCTTAGGGACACAGGCTATGGGAGGAAACGGCACAGCCGTAATGAGGAGCGGTGGAAATAAAAGTGAAAAAGCAAGTGAGCTCAGTAGTGGTTGCCTATGAAACCAGTCCCCCAAAGGAGGTTTGGGAAGGTCTGCAAGAACCCCAGAAATGCTATAAAACAAGTAACATGAGGCCGTAGAGTGACCCCATGTGACTGTCCGCAGATGACTCAGCCTGGGGTGGAACAGGACTGTCCGTGGTCCAAAGCACGTACCAGCCAAAGCCCCAGGTCCCCCTGGCGGCTGGCTCATCATGTCTCAGTGACCACATGCTTTTTCAAAGGGCAACCAGTGGCTTCTACCCTGGCGGTTGGGCCAGGCGTGGAGCGCAAAGCCTGGAGCTTTTACTGTCCTCTGGGTGAGGAGCTGGCTCCTCATTAGTTGAATGAGGGACACAAGTACCAAAGTAGCAGCTCTGGACGGAGACTGCGGTTCCAGATTCAGCTCCAGCTTCTCCCTGAGGCTCCTTCTGTCTTCTCTCACCTGCAGAATAAGAGTGATAATAGCCTCCCAGAGGACTCAGAGCACAGGGACCATGGAAGAGAGTATGCCCCCGAGGGCGCAGCTTGGTCCAGCGGCCATGCCATGGCTCGCAGTGCTCCCTGAGGCTGCAACCGCAGAGAAGCCACAGCGGAGAAATGACTTCTCCTACCAGAGGCCCCGGCGAAGAGCTAACTCTTGCCCAACCCAGAGCAGGAGGGAACACACACGGATTGGAACTGAGAATACAAACATCCAGGCCCCCAGACTCTGAGAGCCATGGTCATGGAAAGAAAAGAAGCCCCTTCCTACTCTTTGTCGGGGAAAAATGACATCTGAGTTAGATTGGTTCCTCTCTGGGTGTGCTTCTTGGGCCACCAGACCCCAGAATGATTCCAGGAAATGCTTGTGCTCTCCTTCCCCAGTAGGATGCACTGGCATCCACACCCAGGAAGCCAGACACTCACAGTCTAATATTTGTGCCCAACTCTTTGGAGAAGGACTCCTTCTGGAAACAGCCTGGACCTAATGCCCTCAACAGCACCAAAACTCCAGGCGCTAGAACTTAACTTAAAGGAGAGAAGACCAAGCATCCCAGGCCCAGGATCTCTTGAACTCAGCCCTGGAGTCAGAAGGGGCAGTCTGGACCTTCCTCTGTGTGTGGCCTCCTTGCCCCACGTCCTATGCCCCATCCCTCCTATTCCAGCTCTCTGGACCCAGTTGACAAGAGGCAGTTCTTCTGGCAGTTCCTGGGCATCACAGCTGCTCCGGATGCTGGGCCAGGACCTGGGGGTCCAAAAAGGCCTAAGATTTTATCCTTGCCCTCAAAATGCTATCCTGGCTCCTGGCAATAGGTGTGGGTGAGAACAGAAGGTACAGAATAGGAGTAAATGTTGAAAGAAGAGCAGGAGTTCGGTCATGAAGGACCCCAAACATCAACCTAAGGGACTATCTTTGTCCCCCATTCAGGGACTGGAGAGGGTCTCTAAAGTTGTCTAAGTGGGGAAGCAATAGGATCAGAGAGGGAAGGAGGGGCCCCACCTGCTCTCTGAGCCCGTGGCTCCCTAGCCACCAGAGCCACGCCAGGTCAGCTTCTCCAGTCCACAGAGTCCAGGGGCCAGGCTGGCTTTGCCCTTGCTCTCCGACTCACTTTACCCCACCCCTCCACCCTCCTTGCCAGCATGACCAGGGCATTTGGATGGTCTTGTTGAAGACCCAGAAGTCCGCTAGACTTCACAGTCTAATACAAATGTTAGAGTACTGGCATGGAGATAGGTGAATTGGGTTTGAGAACCAAATTTCCCCTCTGAATGACCTTGAACAGGCCATGACCCCTTTCGGAGCTGGGTTCTACTTCCAGAGGATAGCCGTGCCCATTACTGTGAGGGTACAATGAGATCCTGTGTGTCAAGGCAGGTAGTATGTGGCCTGGGGACCCAGAAAGAGGTCAATTCATGCTTCTGGATGTAAACCTGACTAGCAGTTCAGGCTGGGGTCTCTGCAGGAGGAAGTCCAGCCAGGCCCAGCCCAGCAGGACAAAAGTTCCCTAACTGGGAGAATTCCAGGGATCACCAGGATTCTGAGACCATATCAGGCAGTGCTCTGACCCCTCTGCTGTCCCGGGGGGTGGCAGGGGCCGGGGCTCCACTCCAAGGGTTTATGGGCTATTAATAGTTGGTGGCAGTGGGGCTGCAGGCCACTGTCCAAGGGACTCCTCTTTCTCCTCTGCTCTCAGCTGCACTGCTCTTTAGAAGCACTGAGAAAGAGTGGTGTTCGTTGGAAAAGCTAGTGGGGGAAAGAGCATGAAATCTTGCCTGGAGAAGACCATCACTTTCCTCAAATTGTTTCCCAACAAATGTCTTTATATTTCACTTCTCTGTTTCCAGTGAGGTAAACAAAAGCCTTTCGTTTCGGCTTTTTCTTGAAAGTAATTATCTATAAATAGGAGTTCACATGGAAAGGCACTTTGACGGTTTTCTCATTTAATCCTCATCCTGAGGTAGGGGCTAATTTTATCCCCATTTTGCAGGTAGGAAAACTGAGTTTCTGAGAGCTTATGTGATGCAGCCAGAGCTGCAGGACTGGTAATGGCATCACCAGGATGCACCTCAGGATGTCTGCCTCCAAGCCCCGCACTCCTCCGGCCCCCCACTGCCTGCCATCTCCCTGAGAAATCCCCTCCAGAGGCTGTGCAGAGTTCCTCTCCGCAGAGCACAGGAACAGAGAATTCCAAGGTTGGAAAGGACCTGCTGCATTTCCCACACAAGGCAGGAACCCCTCCGACAATATTCCTGGCGGATGCATGTCCTGTTTCCCGGAAGAGGAAGTGAGAGGAACCAACATTAACAAGGCCAGGAAGGAGTGTATTATCTAGGTGGCATTTGTCTACAAAAAAGCACAAGTTCTGACCTGACTGGACTAAACCATAAGGAAAACTCATCTACATAACAAGAAGTCCAGCGCCAGTTAATTCAGTGGCTCCATGACGTCATCAGCGACCCAGGTTCTTTCCCGCATACAGCTCGGCCCCCCGTCAGGGGGTCGGTGTTTCTCCACACGGGCTTGCAATGGCTGCTTCCGTTCCAGGCTTCATAGGCAGCCTCAGTGATAGCCAGTGGAGGGCGGACAGGTTTTTTTGGTGGGTTTTTTTTTGGGGGGGGGGTGAGAGTTTGTTTATCCTATGTGTCTTCTTCTTCCCTGCATCCTTAGTGACGTTCCCTCCTCGTGTCTCCTTGGCCAGGACAGAGGCTCATGGCCACCCTGAAGCCACGACTCACAGGCAAAGGGAATGAGATCACCAGAAAGACTGGCCCGAAGAGTGAGGATTGCTCCTCCCTGAATTATGGAGAGGGGGCCTGGAGCCCTAAGTACAACCAGGATTCTGTCTGCAAGGAAAAAGGAGAGGGTGGCTGGGGAGCTGACCAACTCTCTCTGATCCTGGGGGATGCTGTTTTCTCGAACTTGCTGGTGAAAATCACCAAAATTGACAACTCCATGACTTGAACCTTTGTCTATTGGACTTTGTCCTGCATCTCACTCACTGCTATAATTCCAAGAGGGTTCAAAACCATGCTTTACATGTAGATGGTGCACAACCAACCAGCTTGGTTTAATGCAACAAACATAGAGGTTGCTTCCTACGTGCCAAGTGGTTGGTAATACGCTGGAGATACAGCGGTGACCAAGGCAGAGCTTGAGCTTATCATCTGGTACCTTGTAGTTATCATCATTATCATCATCATTATTATTAAATAGTACTATTCTTGTTATTTTCAACCAACATTTACTCAGCACACATAATATGCTAGACATTTTGGAAATATAGAACATTCATGCCAGGGCTCGGGATAATTTTTGTATCCTGTTTGGCAGATAGGAATGCTTAGGGACAAGGACTTACTTGCCCAAAGTCTCACAGTTCATGGGTGTCAGACCCAAGAACAAATTCAGGTGTACCTAAGTCAGAGACCACCTTCTTTCTACCAACTGTATTCTCTGTCCCTCTCAACCTACTAAACGCTCTAGTTTACCAATTTAAAAAAAAACTGTAATATTAAGCCAGTATATGGATATGTAGGTCCCAAAAGTTATCATAAGACCTATTTTTGTCTCTCCTTGTCTTTTTTGCTCTAGTCAGTGGAGATTGCCCCTCCCCTACCAGGACATGCAAAATTGGGCAGTTTTATCATTTTCTTCTGACTTCTAGTACCTCACTTTTTTTTTTTTAAGATTTTATTTATTTATTTGACAGAGAGAGACATAGAGAGAGCAAGAACACAAGCAGGGGGAGCGGGAGAGGGAGAAGCAGGCTTCCCGCGGAGCAGGGAGCCCGATGTGGGGCTCGATCCCAGGATCCTGGAATCATGACCTGAGCCAAAGGCGGACGCTTAACAACTGAGCCACCCAGGCGCCCTCACATTACGTTTCTAACAAAATAATCAAGAGATTAAAATGTCTCCTCTCCCTCGGCTGAAGACCTTGCCAGGAAGAACTCACCGTCAGGGAAGTGGGACGCTTCTTCTCTCTTTACTTTTTAGATAATGAATTTTCCTCAGGTCATTCCATTTCCGGAATCCAGCAATTCCTCCATTTTGAATGTTAGACCTTTGTTACCAGCAGCCTTCTGGAGCTGCCTCAGGATGATCCAGAGAACATGTTCGAAGATGCCACAGGTGAAAATAAAAGTCATTTGTTAACCAGCTTTGCTCAGAAGTGTCCTTCTTGACACATCATGTGGTTCAGGATCCCACAGCTCCACTATGAATCCACCCTCCTCTTTGTCACCAACACTTGTTGGTGCAAAGCTCAAGCTCTGCCTTTTTTGCTGGGTGTTGCTGAGGTGCACTCTGCTCAGAGTCCATCTCCCTGTCTGGGTTGAGGATGCTTTTTGCCCTAAACCAGATTTGCTGCCATCCTCCTGGGAGCCCAGAATTTGGGAGATAGGCAGTGAGCCATCTAGCCCAGGAAGGCTATTTTAAAGAAATTATAAGAAATTCAATAAAGGGGTGTTTGGGTGGCTCAGTCGGTTAAGCATCTGCCTTTGGCTTAAGTTGTGGGATCGAGCCCCATGTCAGGCTCCCTGCTCAGCGGGAAGCCTGCTTCTCCCTCCCTCTCCCCTGCTTCTCCCTCCCTCTCCCCTGCTTGTGCTCTCTCTTGCTCTCTCTCTCTCTCTCTCAAATAAATAAATAAAATCTTAAAAGAAAAAGAAATTCAATAAAGCAGCCCTTCCTAAGCCTGTCATTTTTTCCATATACTGTACCCATCCACTCTACCTTCTCTCATCTGGGTCTCAGTTTCCTCCCTTTTGTTTGCCTTAGTTTTTCTTGTCCCAGTCTCTTTTCCTGGACTCTAAATAAGGCCTTCTTACCCATAGCCAGTGCTATAGCCTAGCAAGAATCAGCAGAGGCCTGAGGTTCAGGTCACAGGTTCAAATCCAGCTGTGAGTCCTAAGGTAAGAGACTCAACCTTTCTAAGACCCAATTTTCTCTTTAGTAAAATAGGGATGATAGTTCCTAGCTCATAGTGCTGTCGGTGGATTAAGTGGGATCTTTTGTGTAGGAAGCCTGGCATATTGTCAGATACACAATCCATAGTAGTCAGCCCCACACCACATAGCCCACCTAAGTAGACTCACTCAATAGAGGTTTCTTGAATTAATCTGAAATAAACATTTTCTAGATTTCCAGGCTGCCCTGGAAGGTTTCCTCTACCACCCTTATCTCGGCTTAAAAAAAAAAAAAATCAGAAGCAGGGTGCCCAGGTGGCACAGCTGGTGGATCGTGTGACTCTTGATCTCGGGGCTGTGGGTTCAAGCCCCAGGTTGATTGTAGAGATTACTTTAAAAATTTTTAAGAAATTAAATTTTTTTTAAAAAATCAGAAGCTTGAAAGTGGAGGAGGGACCAGAGAGAGGGCAATGAAGTAAGCCGGATGCTAGAAGCCCAGATTGCCTTTGGCTCAGTCTGGATTTGAGGGAAACCTGGAATTACTGCGATTTCATCACAGCAGCTGGTCCAAGATAAACCTGCCAGAACCGCTCAGAGGCCAGATCTGGATTGCAGTGATAGCTGGGGCCTGCTGAGAAGCAAGGAAAAACTATTTATCTGACATTTTTTCAACCCCAACCAAGAATCTTCTTTGGCTCGAGATGCTGCTGGGACCGGTTTTCATTTGCATGGAGCTCATCTGAGGATCTGCGCCTCTGACGGTGGAGACTTCTTAGAAAGACTTCCATTCCCCTGCCTCCTTTCCTCGTGTGCTTTCTCATGATTCAGAAATAATTACCCATCCAGGAAAACTAATCCCTGAGTCTTACTTGTGCATGGATTTTGCCAGAACCTCACATATAGGTTCTCTCTGATTCAACTCCACACATAGCCTGTGTGGGCCTGAGCATCAGCAAAGATGGCCGCCAGAGAACATTTGCCCTTCTTCCAAATTGGCAGCCTTCTTCATCTCATTGAAGCCATGTTAACTGATGTGGTACATTTTAATACATTTCACCGTCTCAAGCTGTGGCAGCAAATTTAGAGTGTGAATCTTCCTAACAGCTGCTCCTAGAGTGGCTGTCTGGAATCTCTGCATCCTTGACCTGTTGGTGTCAACCAAAGAAAAACTTGTCCCTGTATTATATATCTTGGGGGGAGGGGGGGCTTAAGACAAGCCCGTCTGAGCTAAAATACCACCGTTCTTATAATATTATGAAGACTCTACACTTTTCAAACAGGTAGCATTTGGGGAGTGGTATAAATATTCTAGGAATTAAAAGAGTGAGTTTTTTTGAGAAAACGATCCAGAATGTGTCCAATCAGATCAGCATTATCTGCCTCCAATCAGGTACTTTATTCTGATGATATTGCCTTAGGAGCCTTTTGCATGCCTTTGGTTTATCATCCTTAGTCAGAGCTAGGCACATGGATGGTCTTGGCTGCATTATTGCCATGGCCAAAGATCAGACACAAGTGTTCATTGATAGGGGACTAGCTAAATCAATTAGGATACCACATCCAGTCAATAGAATGGCATATAATCATTTAAAAAAAAAAAAGTGATAATCCGAAGGAGCACCTGCACCCCAGTGTTTATAGCAGCAATGTCCACAATAGCCAAACTATGGAAAGAGCCCAGATGTCCATCGACAGATGAATGGATAAAGAAGATGAGGGATATAGATATACAATGGAATATTACACAGCCATCAAAAAATCTTGCCATTTGCAACAACATGGATGGAGCTAGAGGGTATTATGCTAAGCGAAATAAGTCAATCAGAGAAAGACAATTATCATATGATCTCACTGATATGTGGAATTTAAGAAATAAAACAGAGGGGGGTGCCTGGGTGGCTCAGGCGTTAAGCGTCTGCCTTCGGCTCAGGTCATGGTCCCAGGGTCCTGGGATCAAGCCCCACATCGGGCTCCCTGCTCCCCAGGAAGCCTGCTTCTCCCTCTCCCACTCCCCCTGCTTGTGTTCCCTCTCTCGCTGTATCTCTCTCTGTCAAATAAATAAAATCTTTAAAAAAAAAAAAAGAAAGAAAACAGAGGATCATAGGGGAAGAGAAGAAAAAATTAAACAAGACAAAACCAGAGAGGGAGACCAACCATAAGAGACTCTTAATCAGAAAACAAACTGAGGGTTGTTGGAGGGAAAGGGGTGGAGGGATGGGGTAAGTGGGTGATGGACATTAAGGAGGGCACATGATGTAATGAGCACTGGGTGTTATGTAAGACTGATGAATCACTGACCTGTACCTCTGAAACCAATAACACATTATGTGTTGATTAATTAAAAAAAACAAAAAAATAATAAAAAAATTTTTTTAAGTGATTCACCAAGAACAAACAATAAGTGTTATTATGAAATAATGCCCAAGAAATATAGTTAACAGTTAAATCTGGAAATACACAAGATCCTGGTCATATTGATCATCTCTGGGAGGAGAACCAGGGGCAGAGGCTCAAGAAGAAGAAGTTTTTGTCATTTCTGTACACTCTTGAGTTTTGTACCTTGTGTTACCCATATACACGATGATAAAATGGTTGATTTTTCAAAAACTGCGTTCAGGGTCTAGCCCGAAGAAAGATGGTCCAACTAACTATATCATTCAAACAGTTATAATCACAAGAGCTCTCATTTGCTGAGCAATTACTCTGTACTGGCCTCGTGTTAGGGTTACTTACACATTTCATCTGATTTTCCCTTCAAAGCAATCTTAAGAAGTAGGTTTTACCGTCTTCATTTTAGAAACAAGGATACTGATGCAATGAGTTTAGGAAAGTTGCCTGAGGTTACACAACTCACAGCAGGCTAACCCGGGATTCAAACCTGGGTCAAGCTAACTTTTTCTATTGGTCCCTGAGGACCTTCTCCTATCCAACACTCAATGAGAGTGCATCTCATCATTCTGTCCCAAGGGCCTGGCAGAGTGCTTGGTACACAGGAGGTGTCTAATACATGCTGAACGAATGATAAACAGAAAGCAAAACAGTGAGAGCAAGACTCAGCCAGTAATTCCTTAAAAGGAATTTTATACATGTCTGAGCATCTTGGAATTGCAGGATAATGTCCCACTGAGATTACTTGGAAGGCAATAACCTTTATTTAGATGGCTCTATTCTGCTGTGTTGGCTTTAAAAAAAAAAAAAATTAGTCACGTTGTTTTTAGTCACACCTCACAAAGCCTCATTACTTCAAAATGCCTTTCTGGTGGAAGATGATTTCACAACAAGGAGAACCAGAGAATGTGGTTTTCATTAGGCTACCTTTAAAAATAGCTGTTTTTCAGATGGGACCATATGAATAAATAAGTCCTTCTCTTTTGTTTTATCTTCTGTGTTTCTGTATGATTGTAGGAAAAGGCCAGCAAGCTTGACCATTCATTTCAGGGTGAGTTTGGGACCCAAACGGTTAAACAACCAGCCAATTTGGCTTCCTTGCTGCCTCCCAGCCAAGGAGATGAATGGAATGTTCATGAGGTCGCTTGGCAGGGGGCCACATTCCTATGGGAACGTTGCAGCAGTGAGAGCTTTGGGACACGAAGAGGCAAATGTGTGGGAGTTGTGGAGCAAACTGCAAATGATCCGAAGTCTCAGAAAAATGCATGGAGTGCCATTGGTCCAAGGATGCTTTGCAGAGGACCAGCAAAGTCTCTGCCTTTGCTCAAATTGAAAATAGAGACAGGAACTGACCTGTCCAGTTCTTTCCTACAGCTGCCCAGGCCTTGAATGGTGCAGGCCACTTCCCGCACCGCTGCGGATATGAGTTCATTACAAGAATCTCATCAAGGAGTCCCACTTCTTCAGCTGATCTTTAGATTCGGTTCCACTTTCCATTTTCTAAAGAAAATGACTTGAAGGGAATTGGCCCAACGCCCCCCCCCATCCCTCCTTTCCCCTGCCCCACCCTGCAGCTGTCCCTAAGGACTCAAACCCAATGCATTTTCATTTTCCTCAAGGACTTCCTTGTGTCCTTTAACACGCACTCCAGAGACCAGGTGAGTCACTAAAATTCCACATTACAACTCGCTCGGGCTTTTAGAATGATGATGATGATGGATGTTACTTTCCATTTAAAATTAGAAACCTAGGATGTTCGCAGTCACCCTCAGAGAGCAGCTCACAAGAAAATTTCTTGTCACCACACTAAAAAAGAAGCTCAAGCCTAGAGACTTCTGTGTGTACCCCAAAATATCTCTGGTACCAGTCATCTGGAGAAATTCTCTAGCTCAGGGGAGGGAGCCCTGTGTCCTGATTTCCGCCCCCTACTCCGTGGTATTGGTACCAGGGAATGGTAGCACTTGAACAGACTTCTCTGTAGTAACTCGAGCAGTTGAGCTAAGACTGTGTTATCCCAGCACCATTAGGCTAGGATATGGGGGGAATGGAGACATTGGAAGCTGTTTGCAAAATGACCATTCCATATCCAAAGGCTAAGAGATAAACCAATAGGTCACTGGATTTGTTAGTGAAGTCTTACCTAATTAAGGCCACTGAAAGTAAAACTAGCAGTCTCTCCCAAAGAAAGAAGCCAGGCTAAGAATCTTACAAGGAAGGGACCAATTTGGGGAGAAACAGTAGTATCTAGGGAGGGAAACAGCATCCTGACTTTGTTGGTACCACAGGGCACCAAAACCTTATAAGCCTTTTAGGACCAGAACAGAAAGAATCAAGGAAATAAGATGGCATGGAAATGACATCAATGAGCTATAATGATGAAGTCATCTGCTCTGCCCATAATCTGCCCTCCAGAGAAGCTGCAGTCCTTTGGCCACAAAAGTAGCCCTTGGCTATAGCATTATCTGAACATAGGCCTTGCTCCCCACCCCCGAGATAATTGATCATAAGTGGACACCTGACCCAAACTGAATAATGAGATTCTCTCTCACAGGAGTTTAGATTTGGGGTCCAGAGATGCTAGATGTACCAGTTCATCATTTGAATTAAAGAGATGTAATTTGGCAGCCATGGAGAATTTGTCTTCTATCCCGTAGATAGGAAAGCCTAAAACCCTCCTCTGTGGAGAGAGAAGGAGGGAAATGAACTGACCAGATGAACAGAAAGAGAGAGAGCGAGCGAGAGCCCCTGAAAGACCCTGAGCCTGGCTCCTAAAGGCATCTTTGTTCAGGCTTGGTTACATCGTTGGATTCTTCAAGGATTAGATTCTCTACCTATTCGTATAATAATCCCTCTCCCCATTTTCTTTGGTTACGCTAATATGAGTGGGTTTGGGTTACTTATAACCAGAAGAACATTGCCTAAAGCCGAAATACAAGAAGGCCCACAGGCCAAGGTAGGAAGAGAGGGAGTTCAGGTAAGATTTGCAAGGTAAGGTTTTTACCTGAGCATCAGGATGGGATTGCAACACTTTACCTGGTCTGGACTGCCCTCCTCAAACCCCAACAGGTTCGTTGTTGTTGCTTTCTTACACAAGCAAGTCACACACGCACTCTCTTAGTAAAGTTTCAAACAATATAAAAGGATATAGAATAAATACAGAAGTCTCTCATCATCCTTACCCAGCCTTAGGTCCTGCCTCCAAGATAACCCTTGCTCGTGCCCTATTTTATGCTAGCTGAAATGTCGTCAATTGTAAGACACATCCGCATTTTGGAGATGTGAAAAGATGGAATCAGATATAGCAGTGTGTTGAGTATCTTTCCAAATATTTTCTCAGCATTCCATGTATCTGTCGATTTTTGTATGGTTATTAGTTTTGATCATTAATAAATTCATTCTAAGCACATAGTTCTGCAGCTGCCTTCTGGACAACACTTCCCAGAGCATTTTCTTTTTCAGTAGAAGACTTTGTTCCATCCACTACTGGATCGCCAGCGCTGGAACAGTACCTGTCACATAAGTAAGAACAGTACCTACCACACACTCAATAAATAAAGATTTAACTAATGAATAACCAGCTTCTTTGTTCTTCTGATGCCTACAGGTCTTCACTAGTATTTATTCAACCTTTCCCCCATTAAAGCAACCATTTTGGTTACTTCCAATTTTTTTACCTTTACGAATAATACTGTTGTGAATGTCCTGGCTCCACTGTGTTTACAGAACAACAATAGTTATCACAACTGGGTGCTAACTATCCTAATATAAGCACTTCATATGCATTAACAGACTTAATGCCCACAACAGCCATTTGAGCTTGGTGCTATTGTTATCATTCCCATTTTTTAGATGACAAAACTGAGAAAGAAATTGAATGCCTCGCCAAAAAACTCAGCAGGGAATAAGCGAACAGGCAATGATTTAGCCCCCAGGCTACCTTGCTCCCAAAGGCAAGGTCAGACTCCTATCACTGTGCTCCTCCATTTGGATGAATATTCTAAGGTTGAATTGTTATGTCTGAGAGAAAGAACATTTTACTCCAAAAATTCTGCATCAATTTAATTCACTCTATCATCATTTGAGAGCACCTGCTCCCCAACACCCTTGCCAATGACGGGTGTTATGAGTTTTAAAGTCATTTAAACATATAGGTAAAAAAATAATATTTCATTATTCATTTAATTCGTGCTTCCTGGTCTACTGGGACATTGTACTTCTATCCATTGATTACTGGCCATTTGTATTTTTCTATGAATCACCTGCTCATTTTCTTTGCCCATGTTTTCTATTGGGTTTCTCTGTCTTTTAGTTATTGATTTTTAGGAACACTGAATATTACTTAAATGTGGCAAAACGTTTCACCTAGGCTGTTTTTTTTATATGTTTTGTTACTCAAAAGTTTTTAAAATTTGACATAGTCAAATCCATCAGTTTCTTTCTACATATGGCTTCTGAATTTTGTGTCCTTTCCTACTCACGATGATAAAATATTCTTATTCTTTTCTTCTAACATTTAATTTTTATGTTTAACTCTATATTCCATCTGGGACCTATTTTAGGATGTAACTTTGGCTCTAACTTTTTTAAGTGGAGACCCAATGTTCCTATCACTATTCTTCGATATGCTATGTTTGTCATAAATTAAATTTCCATAAATACAAGAGTCTGTTTCTAGACTTTCTATTATGCTTCAT